GTGGGCTGTCACAGTGAAGCTCTGTGAACTCTGAAGCCCACACACAGTCTGTGCCCTCAGGGAGGTACCAAGGATCGGAGTCAGTCACTCACAAACCATGAGCGAGTTCCAGTTATGATGCTCCTACAACGTATGTGGTTCAATTTTGTGCCAAGTTCGCTTACAGAAAAATACATTTCTTCCCTTAAATTTACAGTAGTTAAAACTACACTTGGAATACCATATTACAAAGGGGGAGTTTATTCTCCAACAAAAAGTCTTGGTTCCCTTTTCATCAAACAGAAAAATGGAAGGACTTTAAAAGCAATCACCCCCAGCACAACACAACTGCCCAGACGAACCCATGTGTGCACAGCCCCCAGGCCTGAACTCCAACCGTTTGTTTTGGTGCTCAAAAAGGCACTTAAAGATAAGAAAACAATTGTATTAAAAACCCACAACAAAACAAAGGAAAATGAAAGGCAATAATTTAATAGAAAGACACTGGAATTTGTACCGTATGGTCAAAAGTAAGGGAGGAAATAAAACCCCTAATGAAGATGGGTTTGCTCTCAAGTCATCTCAGAAAGCATACAAAAAACAGAAAACTGGCAAAGTGAATGTTCTCCAGGAACTAAATGGAAACAAAAGTAATAATTACTGGCAATGGATACACAGCACTCGTGCCAAATGGGTCCCTCCCTCCCCAGCACAGGTCCCTGACCAGCCCAGCCTGGCTGAACATCTGCAGCCGCTGTGCCAGGCCGGGCAGTGCCAGGGCTGTGCAGGAAAGGGGCATGATGGAAAATAAACACCAACGTGAACCAAACGCCAAGGACGTTCACAGACACGCACACACACCGTCTGCCCTGCCAGCGTGACAGGGAGGGACATGGGCAGAGCTGCTCCCCACGGGCTCTGCCAGGGGTGCCGGCGGCTTCGCTTCCCTTCGGGATTACTAGTATTATTACTGGGTTTATTTTTACATTGAGCTACCTACTAAGTGCAAAGATTTGTTGAGTGGCATCGGCTTTATCTAACTTTAGCCTATTTTTGTACAGTTTACATGTTAACAGTTACCTTCGAGCAGTTAAGCAAGTACAGCAATATTTACAGGGCTGGCAGAGCGGGGCGTGAGGGGACACGTGCGAGGGGCAGGGGACGGGCACCAGCCGGTCCCAGGGCCTGTGCCCGGTGCACAGGGGTGCAGCTGTGGAGGGGCAGAGATGGGCTGCAGCTGGGACAGCACAGGTACAGAGGTACAGGGGTGGATGTACAGGCAGTCTCCTCCTGGGAGCTCCCCAGCCGAGGAGACACGAGCCACGGGTTCTGCCACCCTGGTCAGCGCCTCCACTGCCTTCTGGAAGCCAGGCTAGTTCTCCTGCAGAGCTGGGGTCCGCAGCAGTGCTGGAGAGATGAGGAAGATGAAGGGGGGACAAAGCAAAGCCCCAGGCAGGGTAAGTGGCTGCTGGGTGAGTCAGGAGGGCTGGCAGGCTCTTTGCCCAGGCACAGAGCAGCAGGATTAGAGATAGCAGGGAGGAAGGATGAATGTTAGGAGACATGAGCACATGACCATGGGGAAGTGCCAAATCAAACCATGGGGCATTGCATGGAAATCTGTACAAGGAAAAGCTGCAGGAGAAGCACGGAGCATCTCTGATTCAGTGCTTACAGAGGAGTCTGGATTATCACACAGGATCATGCAATCCCCAGCCTTCTGCATATTTTTTCTCTGGGTAAAACAAAATGTAGATTCTTTTGCATAAACTCAAACTGTTGTATTATATGGTACAGTACAGAAAGTGCAAAGTATCACCCATCAGACCAGTTTTGTATCTGATGTGGTGAAACACGGCTCATGCTTCTCATGCAGGACAACCACTCTGACCTGAGACCCCTCCTCGCTGCTCAGGCCTGACTCTCAAGAGACCACTGAGTTGGGTTTTGTTATTAAAAAAAAAAAAAAAAAAGGAAAAAGCTCATGGGGAAAGGGAGATGAAGAATCTCCAAACTCTGTGAGTTACTCCATGCTTTACCACAGGTTTGGTCACTAGTCCTTGCTCACTCTGAGAACTTGCAGAGAAGCAGCGTTCCACAGTCCCAGTGCAGCACAGCATCCTCCTCCTGCATGAGGGTGATGGCACACACCTCACTCTGTTCACTCATGACACTCACTTCACTCCATTCCCATCCATGGCACACACCCTGCTTGTCCCTGCTGCCAGGGCATCAAGGGCATATGAAGACATCTCAGGATTCAGGACTGGAAAGACTCCAGCTGGCTGGTCACACATGGTCATGTATGGATTTCCAGCTCTTCTCCACAGCCCAGCAGTGAACAGACCCCACTGCATTCCCATCCCTTTTTTTTTTCCTTCAATGCCAAGAGGTACAGAAAATAAACTCCAGGATGGCCTTGTATTGCTTGACGCACAGCTGCTGCAGCGTGGGCTTCCAGGGGCACACAGACAGCCTTGGAAACCCAGACCAACCCACTGTCTCAAGAGAGGACATTTCAGAGCCAGTTTCTGAGGTAAATCTACTGTTTTAAAAAGTCACTGAATTCTGTACACTTTGTTTTTAATATATGCTTCTACACCGAGTGTGTTCTCCAGCGCCAACACTCAGACCTGCCGTCTCCTCCTGCTGTAGGACTGCAAGCTCGGGAAGTGTTTCTGCATGGATGGGGTGTGTGCACACCTATGTACATACACACACAC